AGAGAGAGTAGGTGGAGCTGGAGGAAAGCCATGTAGCCACCCGCAGGAGACAGACGCCTCTGCTTGAGCCCACCAAAACTTTGCCAGTAGGCCATAACCTCATGGTGATGCACAGATTAATGGAGATGTGTTAGTTTAGGATATAACAGCTAGCTAGAAATATGCTTAAGCTACTAGTCAAACAGTATTGCAAATAATATAGTTTCTGTATGACTATTTTGAGTCAGGGCAGTCGGGAAATGTACTAGCAGCCTCCCTCAATAGAGGACTTTAAAAATATATATATTAGAAGAGCCACCAAGATGAATCACTGGGTAAAGGTACTTGCTGCCAAGCCAAACAGACTGAATTTTACCCCTGGGCAAGTGCAAACATGTTCTCTGGCATCCATATGTGTGCTGTGGCATACACACAATAAATAATTTTTTAAAATGAAGCAAATCAAAACAAAACAAAATACCAAGATCTAGAAAGAACATGTGACTGTTGGAGCTATTATGTATTGCTTGAGGGGACACGATAAGAAACGACAATCCTGCTTTGGAAAACCATTTGGTGGTTTTGTATAAAATACGGTATTTACCACTGGATCTGGTAACGCATCTTAGATAGCTACCTAGGAGAAATGAAACACCTAAAGACTTGTATGACTGTTTCCAGCCATTTTATTCATAACAGTACTTCAGCAGAAAGGTCATAGCCCTGACAAGGTATGCTCTAGAGCCATGGGGAGAGGGACAGAGGGATAGTCCTGGACTGGGGATATGCTCTGGAGAGAGCACCTAAGGCCACTGATGATGACATAGAAGAGAAGGGTTGAGACGATTCATGGGCTGGGGCTGGGGCTCAGTGAGAGAGAGCTAGTTCAGATGCGCAAAGCCCTGGGTTCAGTCTCTAGTAGTGCTACATACTCTAGGCATAGTGGTACATCCCTGTACTCCCAGAATTTGGTGGAAGGCAAGAAGATCAGAAGTTCAAGGTCATCCTCAGTTATATAGCAAAGTTGTATCTGGGCTAAATAAGACCCTGTATTGAAAAGAGGAGGAGAAGGAGAAGAATGAGGAGGAGGAGGAAGAGGAAGAAGAAGAAGAAGAGGAGAAGAGGAGGAGGAGAAGAAGAAGAGGAAGAGGAGGAGAAGGAGAGGAAGAGGAGGAGGAGGAAGAGGAGGAGGAGGAGGAGGAGGAGGAGGCGGCGGCGGCGGCGGCGGCAGCAGCAGCAGCAGAAGAAGAAGAAGAAGAAGAAGACTGGCCAGATGGTTGAGCAGGTAAAGAAAGGCACTTCCCACCAAGCCTGTTCGACCTGAGTTTGACCCCAGAGATTCACATAATGGAAAGAGACAGACAATGGAAAGAACACTCAAGTATTCTCCGACCTCTACTCATGTGTTGTGGCCTGTGGACGTGCACACAAAAAGTTAATAATTTAAAGATAATAAAAACTTTTCGAGCAGGGCCATGGTGGTACACGCCTTTACTCTCATCACTCAGGAGGCAGAGACAGGTGGATCTCTGAGTTTGAGCCCTGCAAGTTCCAGGACAGCCAGGGTTGTTACATAGAGAAATCCTGTCTTGAAAAACCATACCAAAACAAAAAGCCTTTTTGAAAAAGAATGTCTCTTAACTTTTTGGCATAGGCAACCTAATAATAGATGATGATGTCATTGACAGTGCTGTAGATTACTGGAAAGATGTGGCTGGCGTTGGTGGTCTTCCAAAGCTCCTCATTACCGTGCAGACGGCTGTGACAGCGGCTGGATTTACGGCCATGTTAGCAGCAGATTTCTGGCAAAGACGTTTCCCCCTCAGATACAAACTCCTGGAGCTCGAGAGATGGCTCAGAAGTTAAGAGCCGTTAAGTGTTCTTCCAGTGAACCTAGCACCCACATGTGTAACTCACAACCATGTGCATTTCACGTCCCAGGGAATCTTATGCTCTTCTCTGGCCTTTGCAGGCTGTTGTGGGAGTATCTTCTGCTGCCTCAGCCAATAGTCCCTGGAGCAGGAGCCGGGACCAAGCGCTGGAACCAAGAGGGCCTGATCCGGGATCTGTGGCTCTTTTTAAAAGAGAAATATACCACGCCCCAGTGGGCTGGTATTTCAGTGGCTATTGGCTGACGGGGCCGAAGACGCTCCCTGCTGCACTGTGGGCTCGTGCTTCAGTGACTATTGGCTGAGGCAGCGGAAGATACTCCCACAACAGCAGGCACCTGATACATTAGCGTGTGCATGGAATTTGGGGGCGGTGCGCTAGTTCCCCCCAAATGACATGGAGGCTTATTATTAATTATGAAAGCTTAGCTTACAGTTTAGGCTTGTCCCACTAGGTCTCATAACTTAAATTAGCCCGTTTATATTAATCTACGTTTGTCCCCTTGGCTTTTTACCTCTCCTTCCATCTTGCACCTCCTGTTTCCTTTCTGTGTCATCTGACATCTCTATTGCACCTAGATTCATTACCTCCTCCTTTTCCTCCTCCTCCTCTTCCTCCTCCTCCTCCTCCTCTTTCTTTCTTCTTCTTCTTCTCCTTCTCCTTCTCCTTCTTCTTCTCCTTCATCTTCTTCTTCTCTCTCTCTCTCCTGTCTGAAAGTCGGCACCTTCGCAAGAACACATATTCACAGTGTGCAAAAAAAAAAAAAGATTATTTCACCCCACAATTGGTACACAGACAAACACATAGTCAAAAGACAAAAATGTATCGAATAAAGTAAAAGACAAACTTTTAATCTGGTCAAGTGGGAGCTGTTGTAACGAGATGGGCCAGTAGACTATCAGTCACAAGACTTAGGACTGTAAAATACTGGATTCAGTGTAATTTTGTGTCTCTGTAGAATTATGGGCCGTTATGAGAGAAAGAACGGGAAAAGAAGGTCAACAAGATGGCGCTGGGGCCTGGTGGTTTCGTTTCCGGAGCCCGGGAGGCAGGAGGAGAGAACTCACTTCAGAAGGCTGTTTTCTGACCTCCACACACGTGCGGAGGCACTGTACACTCACAAAGAAAGAGAAAAAGGGAAGGAAGGACAAATTTTAAAAAAAGTTTTTTTTTAAGAGAGCAATATGTAGAGTTCTGTACTAGAATACCTGTACTGAGGGCAAGAAGTTCCTGTCAGTATGAGCCAGCTGGGGCTACATAGTGAGTTTGAAGCCAGACAGATCCACTTATACTGACTCTGATCCAAACCAACCCAACTCAAACAAGAGTGAAAGACTTTAGGGTGGGAAGAAGCCATAGCGCATATGTAGATGTGCCCCTGCCCTCCTCCCACCCTATGCTGCAGTGCTTGTGTGGGTATCACTATGGCCCCCTTGTCCCAAGCCTTGATGTGTGTTTGAGGTCAGAAACAGATTGCAATTCTCCTACCTCATAGGTCCTAGGGTTCAAACACAGGCTTGGTGGCAAAAGCTTCTGCCCTTTGAGCCTCTAGGCAGCCCTGTGTGATCATTCATCAGTTATTCATTCCTATGTACCCCAAAATGTACACAGATACACAGTCCTATAGATAAGGACTTTGAAAGAATTTTATTGTTTGGGGGTCTCTGTGAGGGGACAAGGAGATAAATGTGGTTAGTTTTGAGTCAGTGTCTCTTGGGAGACCACTGTTGAAATGTGGGCCAGGGATGTGGTTATCTGAAGGCCTGTCTAGAGCTCTCAAATCTGCTTTCCAGTTTGGTGAGTCACAAGCAAGCCGCTGCTGGCTGTGGGTCGGAGAAGTCAACCCCTCAGCGACCATGCCACAGGGCTGTGTTAGCAGCCAGCTCCCATCAGAGCAAGTGACTTAAGATACAAGATGGAAGCAGCAGTGCCATTTATGACCTGACTTCAGAATTCACGGTCACTCCCACAATATCCAATCAGCAATGTGGGCTCACCTGGGAAGTGACGATGGGGGGGGGACGCACTGGGGATCTATCCCTTCAGAGAGTTAAAACCAACTCCTGTTGGTTTTAAGTTTGCCACACAGTAAGAGTACAAGACAGAAGTGTTGTACACTTGATAAGCTGACAGACTTAAATGCTATCCACAGCAAGTAGCCTCGTCCATGCTCTCGACGCTTCTGTGGCTGGGACTTTGTTGACCTTCTACGGCTCAGCAACATCTTTAGTAAGGACCCTCTGGATACGTCACTTCTCCTGTCCTGCCAATACTTCTTCCTGTTTTGCTTGCATTTAATGGACACAGTCTTGAAATGTTAAGGAATAAAAGCCTAGGCAGCTTTGCTGATAAAACAAAACAAACAAATAAAGAGTATAACTCAGTTGATGGA